AAATCCATTACTAAACATTATGATATTCTAGTATATTATTCTAATAAAACGATAAATCACTAATAGAATGTACATATAAAATGTTTCAATATATTCAATAATCATTTGTCGTAGTGTCGTCGTCAAATAATCTTCCCAACAAAATTTTATATTTTAATCCTAACTCGTTAACACCCATAATCATGTCCTGGCAACCAGAACCTTAGGAACCATTTAAATTCCTTTAACAATAACACTAATTGTTTTATTGAATGTTTCTAAAATATTTATCGAATTCCATTAATAGGTAAATAATTCATTATTTATCGGGATTAGACGACTCTTCCTTGCTCTTTTCTCTTTTAGTGCATTTATTAATCACTTGAGCCTGATAACAAAAAAAGGTGTTTACAGTGGAATAATTAATTTTTTTGCATTAAATTTTCAGTTATTAGCTTACTGTATATTTTCAAAAACTATTAAGAACCTACCGAGAATATAGCCATCAATAATTTTTATTAGGTACAAACTTTATTAATATTATTCAATTACGACTTCCGCTAACTAGCTAAATCTATTTGTTCGTAAAATGAGCGCCATCTAGTGTTGAGTTACCAAACTATATATTGTTACCATTCTATTTGTAATCGGAAAGGTTTAAATAATAAAAAAGACCAGAGTTATGTTACACAATTTATTGGTTATTATGTAAATATCAGTAATAGGAGATGGGCCGACTAACCCAGACAGTTCAGGGGTGGGTGACTCGAGCTAATGGAGTTGTTTTGGAATATTACCTTGGATTTGTAATTTTTGTTAATGGTTAATTTTTTTAAACGATAGAAAATTGTTGAGCGCCACCGCTGGTCAAATCCCAACGGACACGAATAAATAATATGGAAAGACTGCACCTTATTAGAGGGTGAGGGCGAAGGTTCAGCCCTTCTTTGATAGGTCTCTGCTTGTAGAAACGGGACCAGAAGCGAGGAAAATGAGGAAGTTGTACCCCCAATTGGTACCAGGAACTTCTTGTAAGGTAACACCGGAACCAAAAACCTCCTGAAATCAATGTGTAATTGAGTTGATATAATCATGGCGCTGGAGCCATAGGTGCAGGGGTGCAGTATTAAACTAAAGCCTCTAAACATCATCTGAGTTCATGAGAACATCTACTCACAACCTACCCTCTTTGTGCTTGTCTCACGGTTTATAACAAAATCGTACCTTTTGGAGGAAAACGCTGCCACGCGATCGCTAATCAGCGATGTCAACTCCGGAGAGAAGGTAAGTCAAGGGCCGTCGTGATATTGGCGCGCCGCCCACGCGTTCGACGTCGCGACAATACCAACGCCGAAGTCAGTTCACTCGAACACCGCTAAAATCGAAAAGACCGGCTGCCATCCGGCAGAGTGACGAGCAATTTCAAATTTGACAATACCTGTCAGACTAACTTTATTTTTTTTTTAATGAAGGGAACGGTTTATTGAGCCCACCTGTCGTTGACACACATGTGTCAAATATTCTATGTAACAATATATACCTATATTAAGTAACTATGATGTGGAACTACTACAATATACAGATAATACAATGAAATGTACAGTAACTATTAGGATCCTTTTAAGAAGATTTAATGATCAATAAATTTAATTACTAACTTTATTAATATATTCAAATACAATTTCCGCTAACTAACCAAATCTATTAGTTCGTGAATTTTATTCTTTCTTTTTTTTGTAAAATAAGCGCCGCTTAGTATCAAGCTTGTATACTAGCTGCTCTGTATTTAAGTTACTAGGTACAATATACGATATATGGATAATACAATGAATTTTGCATCTAGTCCGAGAAATGGCAAGACTATCATTTCTAGACTATTGTTTCAAGAAATAAATAAAGCGATATGATTACAGCCATAAGTATTGTCATTATTTATTTGCCTTTTTCAGTGTTTTTTATATTTTTATTTATTTATTATTTAAAGTAACGGTGATTTATTTATTATATATGTTTATATCGCGGTGTGTTCCGTCACAATCGCCCCCTAAATTATGACGAAGTTTACCGGAGTTATAATTTATTTAAATTCAACAAAAGGAACCTCCGCAATTTTAATATTAATCGAAATGATTTAAACCAACGAGCCAACAATGTTTTAAAATAAATTTAACAATTGCCAATATGGATGAAGTTCATTATAATTATATGCAATCGGGATTATTTGGCAAAACACGTTGCTTCCGTACTGCAACCCCTTGTGGGCACTACAACATCCTTTGTGAAGGACTCGCGTCATTTTGTACAGATCCTTGATGATACAAAACTGGATCCGGATGACGTAATGGTGAGTTTTGATGTTGAGTCGCTGTTCACCAAAGTTCCAGTTAAGGACTGTCTAGAGGTTGTTAGGATGAAACTTAGACAAAACGATATACCGGAAGGGTACATGGTTCTATTACGGAACTGTTTAGATGGCAGCTATCTCCTATATCGCGGCAAACATTACCTTCAAATTGATGGTGTCGCCATGGGTAGCCCCGTAGCGCCACTTTTGGCCAATATATGGATGGAACATGTCGAGTCATTGATAGATTACCAGTCACATGGGATCCGTATGTGGAAACGGTATGTAGACGATGTGTTCTGTATCCTGAAGGGCGACAAACCGGAGATTGAGCAGTTCCTTACACACGTCAATAATATCCATCCGAATCTCAAGTTCACCTATGAGTTAGAGAGTGACAAAACCTTACCCTTTCTGGACGTTAAAGTCATGGCGCAAGCTGATGGGTCCCTGAAACACACTGTCTACAGGAAACCAACACACACAGACAAGTACCTCCACGCTTCATCTCATCATCATCCTCAACACCTACGTTCTGTGGAGATAACTCTTATTAACAGGGCTATCGCATTATGTAATACTGACTTCTTAGCAGATGAGTTGTCCCATGTACAGGACGTGCTAAGGAAAAATGGTTACAGCGCAAGGAGGTCATACTCTATCCGAAGGTGTAAGGAAAGACTACCTAAGGTTCCCAGGCAACGGGCATTTTTAGGCTATGTTAAGGGGGTAACGGACAAAATTGGTTCCATTTTGAAGAAAAATTTTTCTATAGACACCATTTTTACTCCTTTATCAAAAATCTCACACCAATTGCGATCACCAAAGGATAGTATTCCTTACCAAAAACCTGGCGTTTATAAAATTGACTGCAGCTGCGGTAGTTCATATATCGGACAAACGAAGCGGACTATCGCCGAACGTGTAAGAGAACACATAGCAGCGGTCAAAAATCGTCAAGTGGAGAAGTCCGCGATTGCAGAGCACTTATTATCATCTGGATCAAACCACTGGATCGAGTTACATACACCTCATGTCCTTTCCACTGAACGACATTACTATCCAAGGATTGTTCGTGAAGCGGTTGAAATAAAAAAACACAACAATTTCAACCGGGAAAGTGGATATAAACTCTCACCAACGTGGAATCCGGTTATAAAAATGTATAAGTGTCGCGATCGCAAACAACCACGAACAATATTCTCGGATACCGTAAGTGCAGTGTGTCGCCACCTTTACGTATAATAAAATCAAGTGGAGGGTACATCTGAAAATCAGTTAAAAACATTATTACCGGATTACCCTCAACTAAAACCAGAAGACGACACCCGCCAGTTCTCCAGTCTCCTCGTGACCACGGCTGCTGTAACGTAGCCGAAACGTCGAGGTAAATTAATTGTTTTAAAAAATGCACGAACAAGACCCGATTGCATATAATTATAATGGATGAAGTTCAACAAATATAAGTATGCTCGGTACTACTTGACGTAATTATTTAAATAAAGCACGATATTGCACATGTTCTGTTAGTATGTGTGATTGTCCCCCAGTCATTGCACCTCTCAGCTCGTGGAGTAATGTGCAATATTGTACTTATACGTATAGTTATCCACTTTGATAAGTGTGGTTATCTCTAATCATTGGCAAGGCCTGTGAAATAATGCACTATATTACACATATTCTGTTAGTGTTTGTGATTGTCCCCCAGTCATTGCACCTCTCAGCTCGTGGAGTAATGTGCAATATTGTACTTATACATATAGTTATCCACTTTGATAAGTGTGGTTATCTCTAATCATTGGCAAGGCCTGTGAAATAATGCACTATATTACACATATTCTGTTAGTGTTTGTGATTGTCCCCCAGTCATTGCACCTCTCAGCTCATGGAGTAATGTGCAATATAGTACAAGTAAAGTTTTATTTAACAGTAACAAAGAATGAAAATTAACTTTTTTTAAACTCTACAAATCATTAAAAAAAACTTAGAAAATCGATATAAAATATGTCTAACAACACTATGAAAGTCAGAATGTATGACACACCGAAGATACCTTTATTCAACTTTCACTCGATTAAGAGGGCGTAGAAAATAGTTTTTATTTGATAATAACATTGATTATTTGATAATAAGTATTTTATCCGAATATTATTATTAAAATGCACGAATGAGGATTTTGAACTGACTATTTATTTTAGTCTCGATTGTAAATAATATTTCTTTCCAGAGCAAAAATGAATTAATATTGATGTCGCTTATAGTTACACTACTAGGCCCAAAATTAGGAAGGAAAATCAACCTTGCACACAAAGCCTTATAGTCATCCTAACACTAATACAAATACATAATTAGATATAAAGTTTGGCTCATACTACAAACTTAACGAATACTACAAACTTAACGAATACTACAAACTTAACGAAAAATAATAATTGACAATTGGCGGTAGGCAAAAAAGGAAAAATCTCCTTCTTTTATTTTGAGCCTAAAAATTAGAAAAATAGTGTGTTATATCTCAAATAACTGTTTATTTAACAGTATAACTTACTTGTTACATCATAGTATGTTAGTAACTGATTCTGATGTGTGATTAGACTTCAATCCATCATATTCCTGTCACCACTATCAATCTCACAATATTGCACTAATTTCACTGTATACTTAAGCTTTTTTCACCATGGCAAATGTTGCGGCTGTGTTGGAAACTCAAAAGTCATTGGAGGCTATGCTGTTGAAGAAGATGAGTGACATGGAAGCTCAGTTAAGATCGGTATCCCCCATGCAGGATACAGACAAAATCAGTCGGATTGAGGAAGAGTTTAAGTGCTTTAAGGATCTTGTTTTCAACGCTTTTTCTTTACTTCATCAACAAATCAATGAGATTCTTACAGTGGGTTGCCAAATTATTAGGGACAGTCACAAAATTACGTTTTCGTACCGTTTTAATTGGGAATAAATAGAGTGATAAGGTTTTAATTTAAAAATATATTTTAATATTAATTCACAACTATTCACAAATTGATTAAAAAATAAAGAAATAAAAATAAATTCAAAATAAATAAAAAACCTGTGTTATTTCTTAGTTATTAGTATTTGGTGACATTTCCTTTTGCGTCAATGAGTGCCTGTATACGTTTAGGCATGCTTGCAATGCATTGTTTGGCACTTTCTTTTATTTTTGGATTGTGGTGCCAGACATTTATTAACTTTTTTATCAATTTTACCTTGGTAGTAATAATTTCTTTGGCAATTTCCGCCTTGGTAATCTCCCACAAGTTCTCAATGGGGTTCATGTCTGGAGAATTGCCAGGCCAGGCTAAAACTGGGATATTATTGTCTGCTAGAAACTTGGTAATGCTTCTAGCTTTATGACATGGAGCTGAATCATGCATAAACATGAATTCTTCTCCATTAGGGAACCATTCTTCCAGTTGTGGCAACAGGCGAGTATGTAAAACTTGTCTGTACTGGTCTTGTCTCATGGTACCCTGGACAATATAGAGGCGTCCAACCCCTTTGGCACTTATTACAGACCACACCATTATTTTGACGGGGTGTTTCACTTTCTCCACGATACAGTCAGGATGGTATTTTTCTCCTGGGCGTCGCCTGACAAAACTGCTTTTGTCAGCCAAAATCTCAAACGTCGACTCGTCAGAGAAACACACCTAAGTAAGGAAAGATTTTTATTTTTTTGGACAAAAAATATTATTTTACATATCGAGAAATTACAGTAAAAGTCAAAACCAACCTTGTTCCAGTCCTCAATAGTCTTTTGTCGGTGTTCCTTAGCCCAGACAAGACGATTTTTTTTCATCGCTTCAGTTAAGCGAGGTTTTTTGACGGGGCGATGACCTAACAATCCTTCTTCTGCCAATCTCCGCTGCACCGTTCTCTTGGAAACTTGTATTCCTGACTCTTGAACTAACTGGGTTAAAAGACCAGCACTTTTTTTTCTGTTTCCCAGACAAATATCCCGAATCACCCTGTCAGATCGCGGAGTTGTAATTCTTTTTCTTCCACTATGACCTTTACGTTTTGGCGAAAGTGGTTGATTTTGTTCCAATTTTTTTTTAATTTTATTTACTGCCGACTTGGAAACTCCAGCAAGTGTTGCTATCTTCCTTTGTGAATGATTTGTGTGCTGGAGTAAAGTTTTGACTTCGGATTTTTTTCTAGGAGACAAATCGCACCCGCGACCCATACTGGAAGCCGAAAATATTAAAAATATTTTTTTTTTCACCAAAAAAAATGTTATTTATTAATAAAAATAACAAACAATTCATAATACTCACATTTTTAATATTTTTCACAACAAATATTTAAATAACTTGGTTCAATATATTCGAATACGTCTTTCACTGTTTCGCGTCTATAGCGCTCTGCGTCCCTCCAGTCATCAATATTTTTAAAAATAACCAATTATACCACTTATCACCCAACAAACACTTCTAATTTGAAACATAGAAATATGCCAATCGTAAAAAAATACATTCCCACATAACTTGCACTCTTCAAGCAGCATTCAAGTGCACTTAAAATAACAAATTGAAAAAAATGTGACTGTCCCTAATAATTTGGCAACCCACTGAAGGTCTCTGGATGTGACCGAGATGCGGCACCGTAAGAAATGCCTTCTTTTGAGTGGAGTCTGAGAAAGATGAAGAAAACTTAACCCTAACAACAGTATCCATTTTCCAGAGGCATCTTGGACTAACGGATTTTAAGAGTGCGAATTTAAAAATCTGCTATAGGCTGGGTCGCTTTGGCGAAGGGCACTCACGCCCTATTGTTATTCACTTTGCAAATGAGGCATCCAAGTTAACAGTTTGGAAAAATAAAACTAAATTTAAGGGCTCATCTCTGGTTGTACGTGAATTTTTAACAAAAATTCGTCAAGCAACATTCAAGGCCGCTCGAGATCACTTTGGCATGAGCAACGCTTGGACATTGGATGGAAATGTGTGTATTTTAACTCCTGATGGCAATAGGATACGCCTTACAACAATGCAGGAACTGGACAACATCACACCAAAGTTCCTGAAACCTTCTACTTCTGCTAGGGTAATTGATTCTGCCATATCTCCAACTACTAAGACGGTCCAAACTCGGGCAAGACGGGTAAATAAAAAGAATTAGCACTGTTCTATAAAGTATTTGCTTGCCCTTATTTACATAATAGTTAATCTGTATCATTTCTATAATCTTTGTTTAAATATGAATTTTTGCAATCGAAGATGTGAACCACACATATAACTTATTATTTCTTGTTTCGTTGGGTGACTCTGTTTCATACTTGCGATGTTTTGCTGGCTTCCGATAAATTATAACTTCTAATAAGTACTATTATGATGGAACTTTTGATGGTAGTCGGTAAACTTACAATTTTAATTTTTATGCAGGTCACTCTTTGTTTTATATTATTTTGTAGTGTTAATATTTGATAATATGCAGGTATTGTTCGATTTTGGTCACAATGTTTGTTTCTAAAGTGTTAATTATCTGACAATGAGTGATAAGACATTGACAGTGACATAACAGTGTCCGGTAATAACACTTTCATGCTGTCAAGCATATTGGGCAAAGGTATACGATTCATACAGCCATAAACCATCTGCCTTAAAATGTAAGGGAGCGTTTATGCGGGGTTAGTGTCCATAACTTTTTGACTTTTCGACGTTTACAGTCTACAACACCAACATGTCTGTTCTTGAGGTTGGATACTGGCCTCGTGGGTTGCGTGGCCCAGTTCAAATTTATGACAGATATCTCTTGCCTATTTTTAAATAGATTAATATTTTTTTTGTTTGTTAACAGTCTGCAGGCAGGATGTGTTGGTTTTTGATTTGACGAATTATTATCAGTATCAGTGATATAGTTCTATAGATTTTTTTTTAATACTTTTATATGAGTATTTATTATATATATTAATTTATATCTTATTAGTTTTATAGTATTCTTATAATTATTATTATATATTAGTATTTCTGAATGTAATAAGTTACAGAATGTCTGATTTGGATTTTTATGTGATACTTCACGTTTTAGTGATACTTCATCGTACCATTCTCTCGATGACTCATTTGATCTTCGCAGCTCCCTTATGCACGAACTTGAGCATTGTCATAATACTTTATATACTTGCCATATCAACGCTCAAAGCATTCCCAGGCATTATTCTGATTTGCTGCATACGTTTTCTTCCGACACGGTTCACGCTGTCCTAGTGTCAGAGAGTTGGCTTAAGCCATGTCTGTCTTCCTCGTCCTATGAACTCCCAGGATACAACCTTATTCGTAATGACCGTATGAATAGGGGTGGTGGGGGGGTAGCTATCTACTTATCTAGCTCTTTTTCTTTCACTCAGTTAGCTTCTTCTTCCTCGCGTCCTGGTAACATTGAATATCTTATCCTTGAAGTCGACGTTAAGGGTACCAAGGTTGTCCTGGGAGTAGTATATTGTCCGCCTTCTATTGACTATCTAACCGATTTAAACTCCCTTCTCAATTCAGTCGCAACTGACTACTTTCATCATATAATTATGGGGGATTTCAATACTGACCTTTTAAGAGACACTGCCAGCACTCGTAAGTTACGATCCTTAATTGAGTCGGTTAATCTTTCAGTTCTTCCTCTTGACCCCACTCATCATAATCTTACCACCTCTGACTCGTGGATTGATCACATTTATACGTCTTCTGCAGATAATGTCTCCAAACATGGCCAACTATTAGCGCCTGGCTTCTCCAGGCACGACCTTATATTTTTGGCATACAAAGCAAAAGTTTCTAAACCCAAACCTATTTTAGTAGAGATGCGCAATTTCACAAGGTTGGATGTGGATAAAGTTAAGGCGGACGCGTGTGCTATTGACTGGACTCCTATTCGCTAACAACTTCTGTCGAAAGCATGGTGAATCTATTTAATAATTTGGTCCTACAGATTTTCGATAAACATTCACCTAAAAAACACCTTAAAGTGAGGAGACCCCCAGCGCCATGGATCACTTCTGGTGTGCGTATGGCCATGAGACGACGCAATAAGTGCTTCTGTGCTTTCAAAAGATGCCGCACTGATTTTAACTGAAACGCTTTTAAATCTGCCAGGAATCGCTGCAATATGATGGTAAGAGCCGCAAAACGCCAATACTTTCATGACAATATTGTAAATTCTAATCTTGCCGATACGTGGAAGTTTCTTCGTTCTTTGGGTTTCGGTAAAAAGCCTACTAGATTTAGTTCATCTTGCTCGCTGGATGAACTTAACAAGCATTTCACATCTGTTGCCCCTATTTCTGACTCTATTGTTAATTCTACTATATCTTCTATTACTTCCACGACTCCTTCTCATTCCGAATCTTTCTCTTTCAGGCCTTTAACTGAAGAAGTTGTCCGTAAGGTCATAGTATCCATCAAATCCAAAGCTGTGGGCGATGACGATATTGGTAGAACAATGGTCATGCTCATACTTGATTGTGTCCTTCCTGTACTTACCTTTATTCTAAACTACTCTCTCTCCTCTGGCAAATTTCCTACCACTTGGCAAAACTCCTTCACACTCCCACTACCTAAAATACCTAATCCTTCGACTCCAAACCATTTCCGGCCCATTTCTATTCTACCCTTTCTGTCCAAAATTTTAGAGGCTGATGTTCATAACCAACTCTCATCATATGTGTCCCGACTAAAGTTATTGAGTCCCTTTCAATCCGGTTTTCGTCCCGGACATAGTACTTCTACTGCTCTTCTTAATATCTTAGAGGACATTCGGCATGGCATGGTACACTCGAGGCTTACAATTATGGTTCTGATAGACTTCTCTAACGCCTTCACCTCTGTTAACCATGAGATTCTTCTTGCCATCCTTACTCACATTGGACTTTCTTCTACAGCTCAGGCTTGGTTCTCGTCGTATCTTCGTGGACGCCGACAGGCTGTGCGAGTTAATCAGAAAACTTCTGATTGGCTTGATTTGACTGCCGGTGTCCCACAAGGCGGTATACTTTCTCCTCTTCTTTTCTCGTTATTTATTAACTCTCTTACTACTCGACTTCAATCTTCTTATCATCTATATGCAGACGATCTTCAGATATATGCTCAGGCAGACAAGAACCACATTAACGACGCTATTCTGTGCCTCAATCAAGATCTTATAAGCATTGTGGATTGGTCAAAAAGTTACGGCGTGGCAGTAAATACAACAAAGTGCCAAAGTATTATTGTAGGCAGTTCACGTCAATTGTCGGTTATTGACATGAATACTGTTACTCCTCTGCTGTATAATGGACAAGTCATCCCGTTTCAGTCCAGTGTTAAAAATTTAGGTCTTCACATTGATTGCTCTCTCAACTGGGAGGTGCAGGTTGCTGAAGTGTGTCATAAAGCTGTGAATACGCTTAGATCACTATATAGACTTAAATTCTTTCTCCCATACAGCACCAAAATTGCATTAGTACAGACCCTTGTTTTCCCGCTTCTCGACTATGCTGATGTCTGTTATTCTGACACTAGTCAATTTCTTCTCAACAAATTGGATCGTTTGCTTAATAGCTCTATTCGATTTATATTTGGCCTTCGTAAGTACGATCACATCTCTAAATACAGAAAACTACTCGGATGATTAACTATCTAACAACGCAGGAACTTGCGAGTTGTCTGTATGCTTTTCAAAATACTTTACGATCCATGTACCCCTGGATATTTGAAGTCTAGATTTCAAAATCTTGGTTCCAGTCATCAACGTGATCTTCGCTCTAGTAGCAACCTCATTCTCCCGTTCATCATACTGATTTTGTTTCCAAATCCTTTACTCTGACAGCTATTCGCCTTTGGAATGCTCTCCCAGCTCATATTAAAACTGCTCAGAGTAGAATGGTTTTTAAGAGATTGGTGTATGAGCACTATCTTCATATATAATTATTTCATATACGTTCTGTATTATATTTTTTTTTATGTATATATTTATATTTTACCTATATTTACATATATATTTGTTTTGGTATATATAGTTTTATGCTTTTATCAATTTGTTTGTTGTAATAATTTTTTGGCCACTGTTTTTTTTTTGTGTTTTGCTTTTTATTCTTATCGCCTAGCATCCTGACTCCAACATCTGTTACTGGTAGACTGGCAGAGAATGCCTTTGGCATTAAGTCCGCCTATTGTGTTAAAATGCAATAAAGAATAAATAAATTAACGCTTTTTAACCGTATATTTACTAAACGATTGATAACCGTATATTTACTAAATTAGGACAATATCGTTGCATAGTTATTTAATTAAATAGTGTAGGAACCGTTCCAGAAGTAAAACTACAACACTTGCTTTAATAATATTTTTAATCTAATAATTCACCGCTTTAACAGTCCAATCACAAATCACTTCTTAAAACAATATTTTCTAATTTATAAAAAAAAGTAGCAGCGTAACGATAGTAGTTTTCTAACGACCGACCCGTACGGAGGTCTCTAACAGAATGTCCGAGTGGACGGAGCGATGAGCCTAGTCGTCGCTCCGTCCCCGCTTCTATCGGAGTGGGGCCGGTTGTGACGTAATCAAGTACTACGAAAGTCAATACAGTGTTTCTCAAACTAATGAAAATAATTATTAAATACTAATACAGTTGTGAAATTGCTTACAGCTCGGCCATCCTGTTTAGAGCGAGACCCTTCGCTTTATTTTAGATATTAAATACAAAAAGAAAAGACGACAAAATTGTATAAATATGACTAATCATCATACGATTTCATATTATATTCTTAAACATAATCATCTTAAATATATATAGGTATCTCATTGTATAATATAATTAAGAGTTATGTTACAAGTATATCTTATTTCATAATAATACCTAAGAATAAATTTCTTACAAGTACAATCACATCAATAATCTTGCTCAAGGTATATAACTATTTTTTTTCTAAATTATTATTATTATAAGCTCAGTCTAACATTTCAATATTTAAAGTAATTTATGTACTATCGATATTATTCTCGCTTTCTTCATTCTGATTATCATTATCACTCTCAATACTTCTAGTAAAACTCATCCAAGGTTGTATTTTGTCTAAAGCCACTACACTCTCATAACGTCTACCCTGCTTACGGATAAGGGGAGTATCTTCTACTAGGTATCTATCA